TTGTCATGTGTTGAAAGAAGCCAACCAATTGCGCAAACTGAACGAATTTTCATAAAGTTAGGGACTTTTATCACATTCCCCATTATGAGTTGGGGATTTTATAAACTAACCGGTAATTTTGATAAATATGAAATAGAATTTTCATAAAGTTAGAAACTTTTATCACGTCCCCATTATGAGTTGGTGATTTTATAAACTAACTGGTAAATTTAATAAATATGAAATAATTTGTCATATTTACTAAATTTAGTGGTTGATTATGTATAATCACTGGTAATTTTATATAATCACCGAATTTATGACTTTTACTTTAACATATGTTTATATATTTATTATCACGATTTAAATTAGCAATGTAAATTAATTTCCCATCTTTATTCTAAAAACAGTAATCTCTATTTGCACTGCATTATTTCGAGATTAATCCATGTCATACAACTCTTAAATAATTCTGATTATGTAAATTGAACTAAAACTCAAACAGCCAATAATAATTTTACAGCAGCACTAATTATCTAATCAAAGTGCATTGAGAACCAAAACTAATTCAGTCTGAATTAAGATTTCACCCTGAACATAACAAGCTTGCTATGCTTCAGCCTACCTGGATTGCTGTCTGCTGCTTCCTTCTTGCTGCAAGGTTATAAAAAATGTGAACTTCTTAAAATCAGCACAAATAATGTGCCAAGTTGTTCATGGCTGCAATATGTTTACTGAAAATAAAATAAAGATATAATGTGGCTCGGCTGCCAGTCTCTTATTCATTATGGATCAACATTTCTACGTCATCAAAATTCCTGCTGCTTATTAAATTTGTTTCTAGTACATGTCTGTCTTCTAGTGTCATTTTTCTAATTACTCAGTAAAGCCTCTTCAAGTTGCAATTCAGAGAATCTTCTTCAAGTTATAATGCAGAGAATCTTCTTCAAGTTATAATGCAGAGAACCATCGTCTATCCATTGCAACTTTCTCTCACGAAGTCATCTTATTACAATAATGGCAGTCTTATTATATATATATATGCATGTGTATGTATACAAATACATTCCCTTCTATGGTATCACTGAGTAGCCTGATTTGTAAACTGCACCTTTAACCCCTTCACATGAAAAACCATCTAAACAGTTTAGATAAGAATCAATACACTTCCCTTCCTTTTGTAAAAGAAAGCCTTTCTTTCAGAATGAACCAAACTACCTGAAAGTGCCATTATTGACAATAGCAAGGGACTTCTTAAAAGGGGGAAAACATACAGTATGAAAATTGAAAATCCCCATCTTTTAATGATCTTACAAGACTCAAATCCCTGACTTCTAATGGTTAAATTATGAAAGGTTTATAATTTTCTTGCCCTCGGAGAAACAAAGGAAATTTATTGAGATATGCTACATGATTACAGTAAATTAACAGATTTATAAGGTCAAATATTGCATTAAATTTATGCATAGAATAACAATTACTTGTAATTTTATTTACCGTAATTTCACACGTATAGTCCCCAGAGACGATTTTATATAAAAAAATTTCAAAAATCGTCAGATAGTCCGCGGACTATATGTCCGAAATTACGTTTTTTTAATACGGTGATATTAATGTATTTTAGAAACAAAGAACTAAGTATAAATAGAAAAAAGTACTTGCTTACTAATATACCTTCAGAAATAAAACGCTAAATACAAATAAAAACAGTGCTTACTAATTAATCATATGTTAATTAATCACACATTCTACCACATTCAGGAAAACCTTCAAAGTCCGATTCATCGGTATCAGAATTAAACAGTTCTAATATATTTTCGGGAAGAGTGTCCGAAAGTTCACTTTCAGTATCACTATCTTCACTGTCAGTAATTTCCTCGCTTTCACTAACAATCCTGGCTTTTATAAATCCCGATCGGATGGTTGACACTTTAACACTTTTCCAGGATTTATCGACCCATTCGGCAACTTCACTGTATGAAGCGCGTCTCATTTTCCTCCTTTTGTGAAAGTATGTAAACCTTCCGACATCCAGATCTCCCAGCAAGCACGTACGTGGGACTTGAAACTTTTGTTCACGCTAATATCCAGAGGTTGCAGGATTTTTGTTAAACCTCCTGGAATAACGCTAAGTTCAGCACCGATTTTTTTTTTTTTTTTTTTTTTTTTTTTAGCTTCTGCCTTTACACTGTCTTTTATGTGTGCCCTCATGGAATCCATAATTAGTACTCCTTTGGAATTGAAAAAGGCACCTTCTCTCTTCTTCCAAACTTCTTGAAACCAATCGAGCATAATGTCCTCGTTGCACCAACCCTTTTCATTGCACCGTATTACGACGCTTCGAGGAAAATTTTCCTTGGGAATTGTTTTTCTCTTAAAGATTAAGAGCGGCTTCAACTTTGTGCCGTCAGCACAGCAGGCGAGCATCACTGTGAATTGGGTCTTTTCTTGACCAGTTGTTGTTATTGATATTGTTTTCACTCCCCAACCATCGACGGTGCGATTCGGTGGGCAATCAAATGTTAATGGAACTTTGTCCATATTTATAATATTTTTTAGGGAATACTTCCCTTCTGCAATAACTTTCCTTGTAAACTGAAGGAAAAGAAGCTTTTTTTTCATCTACGTCGTCTGAAACAGCCTGACACATTGTCGTTCTGCTGTGAACTCTCAAGTTTTTACGACGCATGAAGCGGTAAACCCAATTTATCCCTTCCTTGAAATCCGTTATCTGCATCTCTTCTGCCATGGACTTTCGCTCGGAAGACGGATTTTAACTGTTGAAATGGAGCGTCCGGCATTTCTTTGGTCGAGAACCCATCTCAGTAAATTTTCCTCTAAAGCTGTCTATTTTACTTTTCCGTGCCGATTGGATTGCTTTCTTCCCATGCTTTTTAACACATCCTTTTGTTTGCACCAATTTCTCACCGCTTTCTCGTCCACTTCAAAATAACGGCCCGCTTCTCTATTTCCATCTTTTTCAGCTTTCTCAACTACCTTGAGTTTAACTCGGCAGTAAAACTCCGGCGATGTTTCATCAACGTCTTCGAAGATGAAAGACAAAATACGAAAACAAAATACTGCACAACGTGGTATCCTCGTGATAAGTGGTAATGAAATGTGACCTTTGACCCCACTCACTCGGTGTTGCCAAACCACGCTATAAGTAAACGAATCAAGTTTTTTTTCGTACTCCAGGTACTTGCTACTAAGGCTCCTAAAAATCGAGCTTACGCATCAACTACTTTTCCCCCTCCCGGCAGTTGCACTAAAGCAGTGCGAAGGATACTGGGATACAAGACTCTGGTTGCGCTGAGTGCTCATATCCGGCATCACTTGATGTGCCAGCCTGGATTTTAGGAGCTCTACTTGCTACTACTCATTCGTTCTGCACTATGCTCTATGGTTTACTATCGATACGATACATACGAATGTTTCCTTGGAATCTTGCGCTTTTTTTATATTTGATCATTGGCAGTTCACGACAGCGTATTTTTAAATTTCAACGATTTTAACCGTGAACAACCAGCGTATTATACGCACTGGCGGATAGTCCGCAGCTTCAAAAATTTGCATTTTAAACACAGATAGTCCGCGGACTATACGCACGAAATTATGGTAATTTGATTCCATATTGTTTCACATACATTATTTTAGTTTTGAATTTTTGGTGCTTTTCTGTCAATGTGGTTGCAGTTGCCTGTTGTGCATCAAAGCAGAATTTGTGGTAGCTTATTTATACAGTGTCAGTAACAGCATTATTGCAAATAAGTGTGAAGAATGAACATCAATCCTGTAATTTTCTACCCTATATTTTCAACTACTTTTGTGCTAAAGTAAAGATATATATTCTTTGAAAAAATAGTGTCCAAAGCTGAATTTATGAAATTATAATTTTTTTAAAGCAAAAACCGATTGCTATGTTCATGGGAAGAACAAATTTTCTTCCCATGTACACAGTAAGACCTATTTTCGTTTAAAAAAAAAAACGAAGAACTGCACAAATTTGGCAATGTACATACACATCAAATTAGATATAAACTATTCATTACATATAAAATTGTTATTCTTTACATGAATCTGTATGTATTATTAGTACTGCCACCATCTAGTTAGATTTCATGCTAATATTAAGCTTGGTGTAAGTGGCAATGCATCAACACAAAAGAATCAAATTTTTAGTTACTACTTGCACGCATAATTTTTATTTTGTAAAAATATAAATATTTTAAAATTCAATAATTTATTTATTATTACAATATTGTGATTATAAAATTAATTTAGTAAATTTTAACCCAAAGAGGCAGTAGTCCAGAAGGGCTATTAGTCTAAAAACAGCATTTTGCGCACTTTCACTATAAACGGTTAATCACTTTTTAAATTGTTGCCACCAAATATTATCACCCTGTATTACATTTAAAGAAATTAAATAATGAAGAATCGGCATGAGTGTATGTATGTTTCTCGCATTTTGAAAAAACGATGCTACCTAGAGCCATCAAATTTTGAATAACATAATCATCCATCCAAACATGAGCACCTGGAACCCCAAATTTTGAATTTGTTTTATTATCTATTTCACATTTTGTAAAACTTTAATGAATTATTAATTAATAAACTCAATGATTTTAAAGCGAGCAACAGCAACACTGTATGGAAGGGAGGGGGAAATTTATTTTTAGCGCTGCTATAGGAAATTCTAAAAATATGCTGTTTTAAGTATTTTGTGGTAATTCTCTTGAACTGAATTTTATGTGGTTTAAGTGCAAAGAACATGACATTTAATAACTAAAGGTAACACACGAAATGTTAAATAAGTCCCATTGGGCGTAACATAAAATCTGCAAGCTTTCAGTTTTCTGCCCCCTAACCAAAAAAAAAAAAAAAAAAATTAAACTATGTGCTTTCAGAAGCTTCTAAAATTTTTCTGTGGCCTTACTAAAAAAAAAGGTGCCGACCACTGCTGTAGGTATTCAGTTCAATAAAATAAGAAACGGAAAATACCATAGAAATGAAATTACCTTTTTCTGGATTCCAAAAGTAATCCATTAATCACATATACATCAGCAAGAAAATGGCCAATCATTTCCTATTAAAAACATGGAAAGATAATAAAACACAAAGCTATTATTATAATAAAGTAAATAATATCACGGTGGAACAAGTAACACATTTCCCTTCCTTTTACTTCAAACATTTAACAACTTTAATTTACCCTCCTCTGTGAGAAATATTTAATATTTACAAAAACGTTTTTAAAAATGCTCTCTGAAGAAACTGAAACGTAAAATAAAGTGTAGCAAACATTTCTGAAATAAAATCAAGATAAGTAAGGAAAAGGATGAGTCTGCAAAATTGTTCAATAGTAACTCCATATGAAAACATAAAACCAAAACATAGAACATATTTCTGTAATAAACTACTGAAATACATTGTGACAAAAATGGGGATGAAAATTATATAATTTTTCACTATTTAATATGCAAATACCTCTTTTCTGGATGTGCAAATGTTAAAAAATGAAGAAAATTCTAAAAACACTGAGCTATTTTACAATGCCAGGTACAATGGCAGCCTAACCATTTAGAATCATGAACTAACAAGATCTGCCTGTTTTACCATGCAGGCACTTTATGTGAATCATAAGATGTGTAAAAGAATCATGTGGACTTGGTTTTTTTTTTAAAAAAAAATATTCAACATTAAAATCAATTTTTTCCTACATTAAATGTTTCCTATGCTTTAAAATTTTTTTATATAATATAATCTCTAATTAGATTATACACAGAATATATATTTTTTACGTGTAAATTAACGCATTCCATACCAGTGTGTCATATAGGTCACAGCATAGCGCCTAGTTAACACTGTTGTAATATACAGTACAAAGTCCGAAATCCAGACTCATCGAGACTTCGGTGATTCCGGATTTGGGATTTTTTTGGATATTAGATCATCGATTTAAATCTGGTAAGATGGCATGTAGAACTTACACAATTAAAAATATGAAATCTTAATTTACGAAATAAAGAACAATTATGATTTAATGGGTATCAAATTTTACAAAAAAAAAAAAAAAAAAAAAAAAAAAAAAAAAAAAAAAAGGCTTAATATTTATTTGTTTACTTTATTAAAGATTTCTTTCAATGTAAGTTGTTTAAGTTGCTTCGACAAAAAATTCAAAAAGTTCCTTTTTCTTATGTCATATACAGTTGACTTTCCAATGCCATACTCCTCACATAATTTTGAGATGGATATGCCTTTATCCATTTTTTTCAGCAAATTCACTTTTTGTTTAATGGACATTGAAACATGGTTTCACTTTGTAGATCCTTTGGCAACTCCAGAACTGGAAACTCTTTTCGACATAATCGAAAGTTGAAGCTCAGTTTTTATAAAATTGCCGTAATAATAACAGTCTGCAAAAAATAATAAGCTGGATCAAACTAAAAGATTAGGGAGCAGTGCAATCCACTACACTAACTGAAATGCTTTAGAATCAGTAAAGATAATTTTAGCTTAGCTTAATAGCGTCCATGATACAGTATTGGCTGTGTATCACAAGATTGGCGACGAAAGCTAAATTGTTTCGCTAAATTTTGTCTTGCTCCTATTGCGTATTGAATTAAGCCTGAATTGTATTAGTTTCATTATTTACTATACCTACGTTTATTTCTTGCACTTAAAACTCCGAGTCCTGAATAAATAAACTCCCACATATAATTAATGCTTTATGTAGGGCCGGCACTAAATGCGACATGGTGCGGTCTCTATGGGTCCTAAATTCTGCTACAAAACGCCTTCCTAAGTTCTAAATTTTCACCGCGCTTAAACTTTGGATCCCAGGTGCTTTCCCTAAATCATTAAAAAACTTCTCATCCCATAATTTTGCCACTCGGTGCTTAACCAAATTCCAAAAATTTCGTCTTCCCTAAATTCTGCCGTCTAGTGCCGACATATTCTGTCGCCGCTTCTGGGTTTATGCAGAATAACATATCAGTTATTCTTAAATAGCACTAAATGTAATCTTTTGGCCTATGAGTTTCATTAACAAAATCTATTTTTAGCATACGAAAAGAAATTTTTGTTGAATTTTTCCTCGTCAACATTTCTTAGAGCATTTAAAAATCTATAATCATCGCCAAGCGTAATTTTAGCATAAAAGTTTGCCATACTCTTGTTATTCAATTACTAATACATAAAAAAAAGTTTAGACATCACTGCATGAGTTATTACTGAAGCTGTCAAGAATTGACAAACATGCAGTGATGAAAGCAAAATATAATAAATATTGACTCGCCAGGTCGGCGTCAGAGATATAAAATAGGTGAATGTTTCAGTAAGCGGGGCGAACAGTGGTAAATGGAACGGAATGTTTGAGATGTATGCCAAGCAGATACTCAGCTATGGAGCCAAATTATTAATCTCACAAATTTATGCTAACATAACTGTTTTTCTGTAATGAGGTATTTTATTAAGTGCCTAAATGAAATTAAGATTCGGAATTTTTAAGTGAAAATTTTCACATGTTTTATTATGGAAGGAAAAATCAAATGTGCATGCATAAAGCATAACCCCCCCCCCAAAAAAAAAAAATGTTTGTGGCTTTGAGTTCAGGCTTTTAGATCATTCCAGATAATGGACATACAGATTTCAGACTTCAGTGGTATATGTGATAATCACAGGAATGAAATGTAAATATTTTTAATTCTAACACATGGCTTCCTAGGTCCATGGTACCAAGATAAATGGGAATTATGATGGCTGAACTTTGACCTTGGACTGTTTTATTGGATTCGAAAGCATAGAGAATGGGATTCAGTAATGTAAAAACAAGCGTGCTGGAATATGTGTTTTTTTCTTTCTTTCTAGGGATGCCCATTTTGCCTTAGTGCAGTTTTACTTAGTTTCTTTTTGTATGTAGAGTATGATGTTCGTTCTTATGTGTGAACGTAATTTCATCCCCCCATTAAGATATCAAAAATGAAAGTGATATATATCGGAAACTGAGTATGTAGAGACATTAGGTATTTTTTGGAAGAAGGCAAGATGAAAAATGAGCAATCGTCTTCGCCGGGAATCAAACTACGGACCTCTGGAATACTGGCCCAGCGTGCAGAACCACTAAACCGCGAAGGCAAGCTAGGAAGGCGGGAGAAATACCTTATAAGTATACAGCTTTATTACGAGAAGATTTGAATAGTTGAGTAAATGTCAGTGGCAGTGAATTATCTGATTCTAATATGGATAACTTATAAGATTCATAATTGCATTCTTTTGCCTCAACATCTGCTCTATCCGTACGTGGCAACTGGTCTCGTACACTAAAAGATTTACAGCTGCAATGCTTACATTGATACACCTGGTATTAATTATAATGCAACAGATTCTGGCTTTTTGGCATCAGTGGTCTGCACAGTCAACAACTTAAATATAAACTTACGTACACATATACATTCCTCTTGAGAACCTACAGCATGCTACAGGCCAAGAGTGACTCTCCAAGTTTTCTTCATCTGATCCTATCTAGCAACACAGCTTTCCAACAGTTTACTCCTATCAATTCCAAATTCTTTTCCACACTATCCAGCCATTTAGTGGGTGGTCTTCCTTTCTGTCACTTTGCATCTATTTTTCAGGTTATCTTTTCAGTAGGAAATGCATCATCATATCTATAAATATGGCATAGACATTTAATATGAGATGCTTGTACAATTTTGACAAGCTATAGGTTCACTATATATTTTCATTAGATTTCATGGTTATATACTATTCTCCACAGTTCATTTTGCTTCACTGATCCAAAAATCTTTCTTAGAATTTTTCTTTCAAATATTAGCAGTAGATCTTCCTCTGCCTCGTTAAATATCCAGCATTTGCTTTCATACAGGGCCATAAGTCTTATCAAAGTCTTATACAAACATATTTTGGTTTTTATGCTAATTAATTTTGATTTAAAAGTCTATAAAAACATCTGTTGGTCATAGATATCCTGTTCTTAATTTTAATTTTAATGTCATGCAGCTTGAAATCATTGTACCCAGATATTTAATTTGTTTAAGCCTCAAAAGTATAACTGTTGACCCTTAAAGGGGATAAGGTCCATGACTTTTTTTTTTGCTACCATCATAAATTTTGTTTTATCCTCAATGATGGTTAGACTCATCTTACATGCTGCATGCCTCCACAATAGCCCATTTAGATTGTCCAATGATATCATTGGCAAAAGGTAGCAGTTGAACAGTTGAGTTGCTCTTTGTAGAATAGTTCCACTTGTGTT